TTTTTTTTTTTTTTTTTTTGGTCTGTTTGAACCACCTTTATCAAATTATACCTTTCCATAATGGCAGTCTGAGAAAGGAAAAAGTTTCGCATCTTTTTTTTATTCTTCTGGTAGCTCCCAAATTGAAACACACACTTAACATATAAACAAACATACACTTACACATAAATGCCTGTGTATGTATCTATTTAGAGTGTATATATCTGTTTTTTTTTTATCTTTATTTTTTTTTTGGCAGAACCGGAGATTGAACTCAGGCCCTTTCACTAGCCAGGGAAGTGCTTATTCCACTGAGCCATCTCCCTGGCCCCCTATGTATGTATTTGGAGAAGAGAGGAGAGAATATATGTACTTTTGCATTTATTTGAAAGAACAACTGAAGGACAGACCTTTTTCCTGTATATATTTTCTTTCTGTGTCTTTGCTTTTGCCCAATAATCGTTTGAATTATTTTGTGATTTTTAGGCAAAAGAAAAAGAAGAAAGACTTTTAAGAAGACAAATTAATAGGGAGAAACTTGAAGAAAAACGAAAACAAAAAGCAGAAAAGACGAAGTCTTCCAAAGGGAAAAGTCAAGGTAGAGTACCTATTAAATTTAATTATTTTAAACTATCTCATGTGTACCATTATATTCTAGTTATTCTGGTCTTATGACAAGAATATAAAATAAAATGACCTATTCGCAAGTATGGGCGGATTTCTTTTTTAATCTGATGTGTTTTGTCATTTTTGTTTTTATTATATCCCTACCTATAAATTAAGCACTGAATATCAGTTTATGCCAGTTACGTTAAGAATTTTGGGATGAATTATCACTGGAATATGGTTGTTAGCATCACTGCTGATAGTAGTGGAATTCAACTATGTTTTAAGTGAACTTTTGGCTTTTGTTTTATTTTATCACATTTGGCATTATGATCTCCATGTCATCTAAGAATAGGATTTAAATTGACGTTTTTAGTACTAAGTATTGAACTCAGGATCTCACGCATGCTGAGCATATGTTTTGTGACTAAGCTACGCCCCCAGTCCTTTATGGTAACATGTGGAATATTGATGAAAAGAAAATTGAGTTCTAGTATGTTTATTTCAGCACAACTTAGGGCTTTAAAGCCATTTTTTGATTTTTACAATAATTATAAAGTTTGGGGCCAGGAAGATAGCTCAGTAGAATAAGTGCTTGCCTGGCAAGCACAAGGTCCTAAGTTCAATCCCTGGTACCACAAAAAGTAAAAAAAATAAAGTTTGAATGAAAAATAAGTACAACATTGTTTATGAGACCCTTTTCTGAAACACAGTTTACTGACTGCTTCTTTTCTAGGCAAAAATAATGTGGACTTAGAAGAATCAGCAACAAAGAGTTTGGAACCGAAAGCCGCTAGAATTAAAGAAGTTCTTAAAGAACGAAAAGTTTTAGAGAAAAAGGTAGCCTTAAGCAAAAAAAGAAGGAAAGATTCAAGGTACATATTATATCTAGTCTTGCTCTAATTGTATACTCACTTGAATGCATTATGCTTCCAGCAAAAAGCAAGCCTTCATGGTAGTAAAGAGTTAGACCTTCAGTGTGTATGTTACTGCATGCTTACATAGGTGCTTACATTTCTTTTTTACTGCCTTAATTCGTTGTCTTAACATTTCAAAGTAATGTACGTGTTCGTGTATATAATATATATGCAGCATATCAAATCCAGAGCCTCATGCATGCTAGGCAAGTGCTAGTTTACCACTGAGCTAAATCCCCAGCCTTTAAAGTAATGTATCAGTTACTTTTTTGTGATCTCATGAAAGCTTTATACCTTCTCTCCAGAAAAATATATGTTTGCTAACACACAGTATCAGAGTGTCAGAGAATTTTGGGACCTTCTGGAATTCCTCCAGAAATGAACCCACTTGGAATAATTGCATCCACTCTCCAGCCCTTCATAGGGTTCTTTTTGCCAGTATCCCATGTTTCTCCCTCTAATCCAAGGTTATTTTTAACTCTACATTATCATTGCTAATTCTATAAGAAATGGAAAACTAAAAAGACTGAGGGAGTAGCTGTGAGGTCACTGTGAGCGTGGGCTACAATTTTGCTCTTCTGTCAAGTTGCAATTATGTAAATTAATGATGGGTTTCAAGATAAATGAAGCAATAGTTTGTAGAATTTGTTGAGAATAGTCAGCTCTCGTTACTGTTTCTCATTTCAATTGATATCTGAATAAAAAAGTCTACAACATTCACTCACAAAGATGGTAAAATTTTTAAGATACAAACATAGTTCATGCAGCATGTATCTTCATGCAGTGAATCAAGAGTTGGCTTCGGCTACACTTTTCTTTAGCACCCAGAGTAGTTCATGCCACATTTGACATTATAAACTCCATGTCAACTAAGAATAGGATTTAAGTTGATGTCTAACAACCCTCTATTTATGAATTTGGTGCTTATCGTAAAGGAATGTGTTTTTTCCTGCCTTACTGAGAGATTCTTACTGTTGAGTTAGTATTCATAATGGATGTTTCCCCACCTTTAGGAACACTGAAGAGAATGCCAAAAAGAAACAGCAGTCTGAAGAAGACTTTAAAGAAAGCCTTAAAACAAGTGAGGTGTGTCTTAATAAGAATCCTGTTTCAGATGCTCTTTTGTTAGATATGGACTTTTTAGTCTTTTGTAGTAAAACTTTGAATGTAATTTCATCTTTTCCATGCAAAATAAAAATTCTTCCCATTTAGCATTCTTGAGCCCCCATCCTAGTATGGCCTGAATTCCTCATTTTGGTGAGTTAATTTGTATCTCTTTTAATGTTTTATTCTGTTACATTTGCATCTTTTATTTAGTAAGTTCTGTCCTTTTCCTTTCACCCTCCCAGTTTTTTACACACACACAATAACAGAGTTCCTGGTGCTAATCCTGAGAAGGAATAAAATGGGAAAACGGGTCTAAAATATCCACTATAACAGAGCATCTATTTTGTTCTTTTATTCCTTGTCCACTTAGGGATGTAGGATGTAATTTTTTTTTTAAATGTATTTCATATAAGGTCTACAGGTTTTCACTACTCATATCGGACTCGTAGCGATCCTCCTGTTTTCAGTCTCCAAAGCACTGGGATTACAGGCGCATGCCACCATGCCTAGTCGCAATCACCCTTTCAGTGGGCCCTGGGGGCGGGGCCAGCACAGCAAGTGGTGCTAGAACCCTGGTCACAGGCACTTTAGTCCTCTGAGCTATCAGGCCAGCCCTGGGATGTAATTTTTTACAGTGGAAGTGATGTGGCAAAATGTTTCTTACATTTTAATCATTTTGTTTTTTTGTAGATTTTCTGTTTTTGTTTGCAAAATGTTAACATTGAATGGGTGTATCATTATTTAAGCTCTTTTTATATGTAAACACTTAGGTTGGTTATATGTAAAACTTGATCATTTTATTTATTTATTTTTGGGGGGGGGGTTGAACTCAGGCCCTTGCACTTGCCAGCAAGTGCTTATTCTACTGAGCTTTCTTCCCAGCCTTATTTATTTTTCCAGACAAGATGTCACTATGTAGTTCAGTCTGGCCTTGAATTCAGGATGTCCTCCAAAACTCACAGCGCTCCTCCTGTCTCAGCCATCTGAGTGCTGGGTTTATTAGTGTGCACTCTTGACCAGATCGTTTGAAACTGGAAATACATGCAGAGAATCCATTTCTTTACTTTTTTGCGCTATTTTCCCAAAATAACCTTTGGTTTTCAGTGATTTCAAATCGTTACTTACACAGCCATATTTATAATGCTCTAGCTAAAACTTCTTAATGTTTTCAAAAGGGAGGGACTCATAATTTAATGATTATTTGTTCATAGCTAATAAACTTTATTTTCTATAATCAAAAATTAGATTCATATTTAGAAGTACATCCTAGTGTCGCAGTGGTATAGTTTTAAATACTTAGTTTTGATTAATTTTTGTGAAACATCTTTTTAAATTACATTCACATTAGCTGTTTAGATTTCTTTGTTATAAAAGTTAGTTTGGAAAAAAAAAGTTAGTTTGATACAAACTCCTGGTGCTTTTTCCTTTGTTGAGTTTAAAGTGTCTTAAGGTGTTATGTTTGGATTTCTATACTAAAAAACCTACATGTTAGTCTTCATGTTGGAATTTAACAACAACTTAGGGTATTAAGCTTAGGGTATTAAGCTGGCCCTAAGAAATAGAGGTGTTTGGCACATTATTTGAGTGAAAATAATTATAGCAAATAGACACGAAGTTTTTGTGAAATAGGTTTAATCGGTGTCTCCTAATTAATGATCTATTCAGTGACAAACTGTGACAGAAAGGAAAATTCATACACTGATCTCGAGCTTCCCCTGAATGCATATGGTCACGTGTATGTTACTGTTACTATGAGTTACTGTGTTTGAGATTTCATAGGTGCAGTGTTGTCCATTTGCTCTGAATTATATGGGCTGCTAAGTATAAATATCAGGAAACCTTTATTTCAGTGTAAAATGTTTAAATTATTTTCATCAGCATGGATGGTTTTAATTTAAAGACACTGGACTATCATTCTTCTGCTTATATTTATTATAGCTACCAGGCGTTAGGGGCTCTAGCATTGTGGACTTCAAGGCTTTTCAAATGCATGCTAAACCTCAGAGGAAGAACTAGATTAGGCTCTCTAAAGCTGCCTAGATATACTGGGAAGAGTGCTGGACTTAACACGATCATCAAAAGTTTTTTCTAGAACAGCCCCTTGTTGCAAAAGTGTCAAGTTAGGGAGTCATACTGAGCTTCAGCTTTCTGATGTATCTGGTGAAATTAATAAAACCTAGCATGGGTGCTTCCAAGAGCAAAGTTAGGTGTCACATATGTGTCAGCTATTTTAAATGTACCAAATATTAAATTTGAATCTAAAAATTGATTTGGGCATTGCTCATATTTTAACGTTTATTCTCTCATAGCACTGTGAAAAGGAAAAGGCATCTTCTTCAAAAGAACTAAAGCATGCTCATACAAAAAGCGAGCCAAGTAGACCTGCCCGGAGACCTTCAGAAACCTTACATTCTGCTGATGAAAACAAAAATGAGTGTAAAGTAGAGAGAGAACATAAAAGGCGAACATCTACCCCTGTTGTGTTGGAAGTGACTCAGGAAGAAACTGATACAAGAGATGGAAAAAGACAAACAGAACGCTCAGAAGTTGGCACAGAAGAACCTCAGAAACAGAAAAACACACTTAAAAATGAAAAGCATCTAAAGAAAGATGATTCTGAAATGTCACACTTGAAAAACCTCCCTAAGAAAGAGGCAAAAACCTCCAAGGAGAAACCTGAAAAAGAAAAAACTCTGTCAGAAGAGAAATTGTCTACAAAACATAAATATAAGAGTGACAGCACACATAAAACTGGGGATGAGACTGAAACACACCCTTCAGAGAAAGGTTTGAAAGGAGAAGAAAATAATCAGAAGCAAAGTCAACAAACAAAGCCTTCAGATGATAAAGCTGAACGAAAAAGTAAACATAGGAATGAAAGGAAATTGTCAGTTTTAGGCAAAGATGGAAAGCCAGTGTCTGAATATATTATAAAAACAGATGAGAATGTGCGTAAGGAAAACAGCAAAAAAGAGAGACATCTGTCGACTGAGAAGACCAAAGCAGAGCACAAATCAAGAAGATCAAGTGATAGTAAAATTCAGAAAGATGCAAGTTCTAAGCAACATGTGGTCACTGGACAGAGAAGAAGCGAAAGTTATTCAGAAGATAAATGTGACACAGATCCAACTAATGTAGATAACAGTGTAAAACCAGAAGAGCTTGTTCACAGGGAGAAGAGAAGAACAAAGAGCTTGCTTGAAGATAAACTTACATTGAAGTCAAAATCGAAAGGTCAAGGCAAACAGTTAAGAGTTGCTGAAACAGAATTACAAGAAAGCGTCACGAAACAGGCTGCCACTCCAAAACCAGAGAAGGAAAAGACCACAGAAGAAAATGACCCAGATAAACCACGCAAGGCTAAAGTTGAGGACAAACCCCTAGAAGAAACTGGTGCTGAACCTGTATTAGAGAGCGCCTCCTTTTCACATAGTGTACAGAAAGATTCCGGTCACAGAGCTAAACTACCATTGCTAAAGGAGAAATGTAAAGGAGAGAAGGAGTCAGGCTCCTCCAGACTTGAGAGGAAGTTGTCAGATGGGCACAAAAGCAGAAGCATGAAGCATAGTAGTAAAGACATAAAAAAGAAGGAGGAAAATAAAGCAGATGACAAAGATGGTAAAGAAATTGACAGTAATCATGAGAAGTTGAGAGGGAACGGTCCAGTCACAGAAAAGAAATTAAGTAGACGGTTGTGTGAAAATCGAAGAGGAAGCGTATCACAAGAAACGACCAAAGGAGACGAAAAATTAACAAACCCTTTGGGTACTCTCAGTAGTTCCTCCCTTCAGAAACCAAAAAGAAGTGATACATCAGTTCCTGAACTAGAGCCGATGGAAATTGATTCTGATACAGGTGCTGGAAATGTATTTGAAATACTTAAAACCCAAGACAACAGCAATAATAGTTCTCAACAAGATAAAGACTCTGAAAATGTCACAAAACAGAAAGCTACTACTCCAGCTGTAAAGGATGAATTAAAAATTGCCACAGATCTGAAACCAGCTACAGCCTGTAAACTGGTCCGTGGAACAGGAACATCTAGCAATTCAGAAAAGCAAACTGACCACAAAAGCACCTTGGCCAAGAAAGTACAGATGCAGGTTGCCATGTCCAAACCAAATCCCAGGGAGAAAGAGCTTGTTCAACAGGGAGCTCAGGAAATGGACATAGACTCCGAAATGAGTCATAGAATACTGCCTCCTAGCTCTTCAGAAAGTGGAGGGCTGCAGAGAGACTTGAAATGCTCAGCCAGACCCACTGAAGAACATGCTGCTCAAGGAGATGTTGCTCTTGAACATTCCACAGATGCAAACCCCCCTCCGACCTTAAGTTCAGTGAATGTTGTGCCTCAGACTGAACCTCGAGCTTCAGATGTAATTCCTGTAGTTGGCAGAACTGCCTCAGAAGGGCATGTTGGCAGCACCTCCCTCGTGGCTCATGCTGATCCCCCTAACCAAAGCTTAACTGTTAAGAAATCAGAGGTCCCTGGGCCCAGTGCTGGCAAAGATAGTGAAGGTTCCACAGTAGGTGCCTCAGCAGAAACAAGCATGGCTGGCAGAAGTCACATTCCAGAAGGCCACCAGGCCCCACCGCTGAACAGTGGAGATTTTAAAATAAATACACCTCTTACCAGCGAGTCCACAGACATGACTGTGAGAAACAACATTGAAAAAGACAGAAAGACAGATACAACCCAGAGAGAAAATGATCTCAGTATAGAGCCCACTCTAAAGCAGACAGTTACAGCTACAGACAGAAATGGGGGAACTGTTGACCTTATGTGCACTCACCCAGATGAGATAAATGTATCAGCTGGTGCTGAAAGAAGAAATCAGAACACTGAAGTAGACACCAGTGGTGGAGGGGATGCTGCGTCCTCCATTTTGCAGCAAAAGAATGGAGCAGCTGGGTCTGATAGAGCAGAAAAGGCTTTTGTTCCCACTAGTACGGAAGAGAAAGACCAGGGCATCACCTTGATCCCAGCAAAGAATGGAGATGCTACCACTACTTCCTCAGAAACAGAGAGTAGAGTGGCTCTGCCATGCAGCAGCATCGAAGCAGATGAAGGCTTCATAGTGGGTACCTGCACCATAAACAATCCCCTCCAGGGTGGGGCAGAAGCCAGTGAATGCACTGTTTTTGCTGCAGCCGAAGAGGGTGGGGGTATCGTCACCGAAGGATTTGCTGAAAGTGAAACTTTGCTCACAAGCACCAAGGAAGGTGAAAGTGGAGAGTGTACCGTGGCCGAATCAGAAGATGGAACCGCAGCCCTCACAGCTGCTCATCCGTGTGAAACCGAAGCCAGTGTGAACAGTGTTGTGTCTGAAGAGAAAGACGATGCAGTAACCAGTGCAGGCTCTGAAGAAAAGTGTGATGGTTCTTCAAGCAGGGACTCAGAGATAGTGGGAGGGACTGTTACTTTTATTAGCGAAGTCGAAAGCGATGGTGCAGTTACAAGTGCTGGGACAGAAATAAGAACAGGATCCATGAGCAGTGAAGAGGTTGATGGTACCCAGGGAGACCAGACAGGAACGGGTCCCAAAAAAGAAACAGAGGGCACTGTGACATGCACGGGAACAGAAGGCAGAAGCAATAACTTTGTGACAGGAGCAGGGCCCAGGGAGGAGCGTGTGGCTGCAGGGACAGAGGTGGTCCTGGTGGACAACAATGTACCCCCTGGTACAGGTGCCAACCAGGAAGGTGATGGCTCTGTGATTGATGGGGCAGAAGGTGAGAGTGCAGTCACTAGCACAGGCATTACAGAGGAAGATGGGGAGGGGCTGGCGAGTTGCACGGGCTCAGAAGATAGTGGTGAAGGCTGTCTGATAAGTTCCGAAACAGAAGAAGGTGGAGAGAGTGCAATGGACAGCACAGTAGCCAAAGAAGTTACTGCTATCCCCTTAGTCGCTACTGGCCCCTGTGATGATGAAGGCATTGTGACCAGCACAGGCGCAAAGGAGGAGGACGAGGAGGGCGAGGGCGTTGTGACCAGTACTGGGAGAGGCAATGAGGTTGGACATGCTTCCATGTGCTCAGCTATAATAGGTGAGGACAATGAAGGTGTGTTGATTTGCGAAAGTGCAGAAGGCGACAGTCAAGTTGGTCCTACAGCAGACCGCGTGGACACTGAGGCTGGGGCAGCCCTCATGAATGCAAATGAAAGTAACGTTGACAGTGTGAGTGCTGCAGAGAAGGAACTCAAAGACACAGAGATCTGCTCCAGTGCCAAGGGGATCGTGGAAAGTAGTGTGACCAGCGCAGCTGCAGGGAAGAGTGAAGGGGCACCAGTTCTGGGAGATGGCGAGGATCCCATGGTGAGCGCGGCTTCTGACCAAAGTGGTGGTCAGCTTGGTAGGAAAGAAAAGGCTGAAGATGCCACTATTTCCACTGGTCTGGTGGAGGGCAGTTATGTTCTTGTATCTGGTGCCATTCCGGAATGTGAAGTGGATCACACATCACCAAGTGAAAAGGAAGATGAAGGTGTCATCACCTCTGCGGAGCATGAAGAGTGTGATGGCCTCATGGCTACTACAGTCAGTGACGATATTTCCAACCAGGAGAGCTTAGCTGGGGGTGAAGGTCGAGGCAAAGGCCTGATGATTTCCACCAGTACATCCAACGATTGTGCCCCTCAGGTGAGCACGATTCTAGAGGCAGGAGAAGGCCATTCGGATACCCTGAGAAGTGAAGAAAATGCGCAAGGCACCAGGGTAAACATGGAAGATTTTGAGGCCCCCACACCCAGTGCAGTTTCGGGTGATGCAGGCCAGCTTCCTCCTAGCAGATGTGAAGAGAAAGACGAGTGTGCCATGATTTCCACAAGCATAGGGGAGGAGTTCGAAGTGCCTATTTCCAGTGTAGTGACCCTCACCTGTGCTGAAAGTCAGCATCTGCTCACAGTGGTTGAAGAAAGGGCTAATGGTCCCATCTTCGTGAGCACAGAGGACTTTGACGTTCCTATGCCTAGTGCTCCTGCAGAAGTTGAAGGTCCTCTTGCCTCAACCAGCAAGGAGGAAAAAGACGAGTGTGCTCTCATTTCCACCAGCATAACTGACGACTGCGAGGCCTGCGTTTCTGGAGCGAATGAAAACACACAGTCTGCTACGGACGGGAGCGCGGTCATCTCAACCAGCTCAGTGGAGGACTGTGATGGCTCTGTGTCCAGCGCCGCCCCTCAGGAGGTGACCTGCCCTTCAGTCACTACAGCAGAAGAGACAAACGACACTGCCATGATTTCCACAAGCACTGAAGGATGTGAGGCAATCATGGTTGGTTCTGTCCCCCTGGATGAGGACCGAGCCACCATTGCAAGAGTGGAAGACAGCAGTGATGCTGCCGTCATCTGCACCAGCACAGCAGAGTGTGTGCTGACAGCCGCCAGCTTGGACCAGCCCAGAGAGGATCATCTGGCTGCACCCAAGCCCACGGGGCACCATGAGCTGTCCATGGCTAGCGAGAACAAGTGTGAGGTCCCTGTACCCAGTGTCACTGCTGAGAACAGCACTCAGTGCCCTGGGCTAATTGCTGGAGACAAGAAAGAGGACCCCATGCCAGCCATGAGCGCTGAGGAAGGGCGGGAGCGGCTGCCAGTCTGTGAGCCTTCAGTTGCCCAGGGCCAACCCAGTGCTGAGTGTGCTGAAGAGAGGGGCAGACATGGCAAGGGCTGCCCTGGGCCAGACCCTTGTGCAGCAGGACAAAACCAAAGCACTGCGCATCTCTTAGATGCAGAAAAGGAAAAGGTGTCATTGAGCACCGCTCAGACTGCGGCAGAAAGTCCAGTGGCTGAGACAGCAGAGGGTGGGGGCATGGCCCCTTCAGCAGGGAAGGGCATGGAGAAGAGTGCTACCTCCTCATCTGCCCAACTGAGAGGACCAGGACATTCTGGGCATCTGGCTGAGGGCCTTTCTGTCAACACCCACTGTTGGGCAGCAGTAAACACCGGTGCTAAAGAAGTTGACGGCATGTCACCTGTCAGGGATCCTGCTGTGGAGTGTTCTGTTCCTCCAGACCATCTGGGTCCTGAGGACAGCATGAAGACCCCTGCCACCAAACTTATTATGGGCCAGGAGGCAAAACTTGTTCCTTCTCATACGGCAGTCCTTGCCCCTGCCTGCCATGTCACTGTATCTGCCCCTGGATGTGAGGGAGACTTGACTACAGAGAGTGACCGCAGTGGCCAGTGGACTGATGCAGCATGTGCTGAGAAAACAGAGCCAGGGCACAGTGTGAGGACATCACTCCTCAGGGAAGGAGACCTTGAGGTCACTATTTGTGCTGAGCAAAATTTGTGTGACAAAGGTAATCTTTTGTTTGTTTATATTTTTAGGCAAGGGTCTACAGGGTGTTCAGGGTCTCACTACTAGATCAGAC